CGTTTCCAGCGGCGGCGCTGCAGGAGGAAAGGGTCGTTGAACTCCAGAGGGTTAGGGATGCGGAAGTCCATGGACATGTTCTGGATGTTCTGGGTCCAATCTGTAGCATGGGCCCTCAACTCCTCCATCTAAGAGAAAGTGAGAAAAGATTAACCTCTAAACTAAATTAAAGTGATATTCAAGATTTCTTTACAAGGTAGGGTTGTATGGGAACTTCTCCACGGTAATGACGCTGGACAAACCCTCAGATTAGTGGAACAGGCTCAGAAGTAAAGCATTGTACTGCTGTTACAGGGGGGCTACCAAAACATATTTTAGCCACCTAAATTAATAAATATCACTTTATGTGTTGGATATATTTAGAATATATTCACTGCTTTACATCCAACAACCCTTTCTGGCAGGTACACTTAAAGTGATATTGTGCAGTACATTGCTTTTCTTCTGTGACGTATCTCCTGCTTGTTTCTACAAAGTGGGAGGCGACAACCATCTATTGTGTTTATGAATAAGTATCTCACACAATTGAGGTATTGCTTTAAGTGCAGCTCTTCCTGTCTTGGTGTACAGTCCAGGATGTCCACCACAAATCTCTCACCTCAGCGCGGGTCCTCTTAGACAGCACCCTCAGCCAGTTGCCTATCATTGTGAGGATGGAGGCAAAGTATGCAAGACCAAACACGATCCAGAACCAGACCAGAGGCTTGAAGAAAAAGCCGCCGTCACGACCACCTGGACACAGAGAGAGTGGACTTTTAATGTGATGCACTGTTTCACTGATCCCCAGAGAGATGCAGTTGTTGCCTCCTCACAATAATCAGAGGTCAAGGTCTGATCGAAAACAGTCCTGGAGCGGGTAGAGAGACGTAGCAATAACGTGGATGTCCTGGATTGATAACGATTGCTCTATCCACAGGTCCAGTGTCTCACAAACTATTTTGCTTGAGTCCCCGTAAACCATATTTATAGTCATAAAAAGGGTCATGGTATCGTAGTTCAGGAAAGAAATTCAAAAATGGTCATAATTTATATAAAATGAATAGTATATATTTTTTTTATATATTTAAAAAGTCATAGTAATGTATGTTATAAGGGCTAGGGTTACTTTTTAAGTCAATGTATAGTATATTACAAAATGTAACAATTATTCACGTTTGAGAAGCTCGATCAATTAACTGATTTAACGACTTGAGGTTTCAGCTCAGATTTGTATTAAACGTGTAACAACCTAAAGTTAAAGTATGCAATGCAGCGCCATCTTAAACCAAATTGTCACTTTGACTGAGACTGCTGCAACTGAAGATGATGAAGAAAGGAGCCATTTAAGAAATGATTGGTTAATAGTGTTTTTTATAATACCGTGCAAAAAAGTAGTTAGGTAATACAGGTGCATCTTAATAAATTAGAATATCGTGGAAAAGTAAAACTCATTATATGGATTCATTACACACAAAGTGAAATATTTCAAGGCTTTATTTGTTTTAATCTTGATGATTACGGCTTACAGCTAATGAAAAACCCCAAATCAGTATCTCAGACGATTTGAACATTGTGAAAAAGTTCAATATTGTAGACTCACGGTATCACACTCTCAGCTAATGAACTCAAACCACCTGCGAAGGTTTCCTGAGCCTTTAAATTACATTACATTACATTGCATTTAGCTGACGCTTTTATCCAAAGCGACTTACAATAAGTGCGTTCGAGCAACAAAATACAAACTTGAAGAAAACAGAATCATATAAGTACATCAGGTTTCATAGAGCAAAAACATTTCAAGTGCTACTCAACTGGCTTTAGGTAAGCCAGTCCCTTTATTAGTATATAAGTGCTTTGTTAATAGTTCTATTGCTCGAAGTGGAGTCGAAAGAGAAGGTGTGTAAGCTATCTGCTGTCCTGATGTCAATGGGGAGCTCATTCCACCATTTTGGAGCCAGGATAGCAAACCCACGTGTTTTTGCTGATGGGAGCTTGGGTCCCCTTCGCAGCGAGGGTGCAGCGAGCCGTTTGGTTGATGCAGAGCGGAGTGCACATGCTGGGGTGTACGGTTTAACCATGTCCTGGATGTAGGAAGGGCCAGATCCAGGTCCAGCCTGGACCAGAACCTGCGTCGCTTTCTGGGTCAGCTGGGGACGTATCCTCCTGATGTTGTAAAGCGTGTATCTGCAGCAGCGGGTTGTAGCAGCGATGTTTGCAATGAAGGACAGTTTGTTATCTAGGATCACACCCAGATTCCTTGCAGTCTGAGTCAGGGAAACAACAGAGGTGCCGATGTTGATTGTTAGGTCAAGAGTGGGACAATCTTTTCCCGGAAGGAAAAGCAGTTCAGTCTTGTCAAGGTTGAGCTTGAGGTGATGAGCAGACATCCACTGAGAGATGTCAGCTAGACAAGCAGAGATGCATGCAACGACCTGGGTCTCTGAGCGGGGAAAGGACAGGATTAATTGGGTGTCGTCAGCGTAGCAGTGGTATGAAAAACCATGCGGGCTAATGACTGATCCGAGCGAGTTTGTGTACAAGGAGAAGAGGAGGGGACCAAGAACAGAGCCCTGAGGGACCCCTGTAGTTAATTGACAAGGGTCGGACTCCGACTTCCTTCGCTCTACGTCCTTAGGGGAGCCATACATCCGGAACCCCTTCTCGGATCGATTAGAGCATCCAAATGCTGCACATCCAACCATGGTATGACAACTGATCTATTAAAATGCAATATAAACGAAAGTGCCATAATATTTGTTGTGCAAACATTTTAACGTGGATATTGCTATGTCCTCTGTTCAGTCTGCTCCCAACTGTATCTCCCCTTATTCACCACTGTTCCTATTCTTGCTCTGCTTTTTAGGGCCCAGGAAACAGATGAAGAGGATGTCCCTTTCACAAAGGAACCTTTTTGTTTTTTTCAAAATGGTTAGGCTCCTGGATGCCTAGAGTTCTTTATTGCTTTTTTGGAAGTAGTATTGCTTTTTTGTAAATAGTTGCTTACCCTAACCCTTTTTTGTAAATAGTTGCTTACCCTAACCCTTTTTTGTAAATAGTATTGCTTTTTTATAAATAGTTGCTTTTTTGTAAATAGTTGTTTGTAAATATTTCTTCTGTTTTTCACTTTTTGGTGTCCATTGTTCAGCCACTGTTTGGTAAGCAACTATTTGTTTTGGCCAAAATGTGTTATTCACACTCCTGACTCCAGTTTGATGTGCTGCATTCTCCTCTGAGTAGTCCTGATTTCTGGCAGAGGTCTTGGCTTGGAAGGTTTTATATCCTGTAGTGCCACAACAGAACCTAATATGAATTGCTTTTTTCAGTTTCTCTTTTTTTTTTATTGTCTCGTCGCTGGATCACCTCCCCCTGGCAAAGTAGCCTCGTCATTTTAATTTGTATTGTTGACAAACCTGTTTTTGTTGCTCTGTTGAACTGTTCAACAGGAGCTTCTGTAAATAGTTTTGTAAATAGTTTGAATATTTATCATAGTAGTATCTTTTGTCCCACTATATGTTTTGTTGTCCAAGGGCACTAATTTGGTCTGTGTTGATTGTTTTACACTTTAGATTAATCAAAATTGTGTTTTTTGGCTGAATTAATCTTTTTCTGTTGAACCCTAACCCTCTTTGTTCTCCTTCTCATTCATTTGACTTTGTTTTGTTCTAACACACATCACTTTTTCCATACACTGTTCTTAATACTTGTTCACACATTTGTTCGTCCCTTTTACTTTGTTCTTCCTGTTGTTCTTGTTCAAACACATATATCAATTGTTCATCCACTGTTGTGGTAAAATGATATTCATAGTCTTAACATGATCATGCTACCCATGCTAACATGAACACAAACGTTTCCCTCCAAACATGTAAAACGTATCTAAGTAATAGGCTACCAAGCTTTCCGTTGTCACCCTGCCTCTCCAAATGCAAAACTGTCAATAAAAAGTATGCAATAATGCAATTACAGCTGAAAAAGTACTTGTGTGTTTTTTTATATATATGTACCATTCAATAACGCAATCGCTGCTGTCCGTCTATCCCATAGAAGAACATGACAGCGCAGCGCAACTATACTACGGACGTGACTGCCCTGGCAGTGACAGCAACATAGCCTGCTTGTGCTACCACACTTTCCCCTCAAAATATTGTTAAATAACGAAACTTGTAAATAGTGCCAATCCATACAAAGTGTAACCACATCATGTAAATATGAAAGCAATCTTTAAAAAATAACAGCGTTGGTTTAATCTATGACTATTTTGACCATGTTTGTGCTGTGTTTGCCATAGAGAAGCATTGCCACGGAAGTGCGTTTGGAACTATCCCGGCATACATAAACTACGTGACCGGCTGGCGGCGACATCATAGAGTGTCGTAACTCTTATCTCTCTAGGGCTCTGGCTCCGCCCCTTCGCTCCAACCCCCCTCCCTCCCCCACATCTACAGGTGAAAATTACTTTTGCGACACATTTATCGCAAGAAGTGTAGCAAAAGTCAAGACCGCAGATTTGTCGATTTATACTGCCACAGAGCAGATTCGTCAAGTTGTAATGACTGATTTGAGAGGTTGTAATAACCAAGTTGCAGTTGTAATGGAAAATATATTTTAAAAATATGTATTTTTCTGCAAGTGAACATTTCATCACTGAGTTCATTTTTTTTCTACAAGCTACAAAACTTTTTTTTCTTCTGTGACTTCAACTTTGGTTCACAGTTACGTGGATATTTTTTACAAGTGTAAATTTGGTTCACAGTTACGTGGATATTTTATACAAGTGTACATTTGGTTCACAGTTACGTGGATATTTTATACAAGTGTACATTTGGTTCACAGTTACGTGGATATTTTATACAAGTGTACATTTGGTTCACAGTTACGTGGATATTTTTATACAAGTGTACATTTGGTTCACAGTTACGTGGATATTTTTATACAAGTGTACATTTGGTTCACAGTTACGTGGATATTTTATACAAGTGTAAATGTATGCAGACAAGCTCAGATTTTTTTTCTGCAAGTGCTCACATCAGGTTTTACACGCTCTCACATTTTGCACCATATCTACCTTCATATACGCATTCCTCGTGTCAAGCCACTCCTGAACCAGAGACAACGTCAGAAGCGTCTTACCTTGGCTAAGGAGAAAAATAAATGGTCTATTGCTCAGTGGTCCAAAGTCCTCTTTTCAGATGAAAGTACATTGTGCATTTCATTTGGAAATCAAGGTCCCAGAGTCTGGAGGAAGAGTGGAGTGGCACACAGTCCAAGTTGCTTGATGTCCAGTGGGAAGTTTCCACAGTCAGTGATAATGTGGGGAGCCATGTCATCTGCTGCGGTTGGTCCACTTTGTTTTCTCAAGTCCAAAGTCAACGCAGCCGTCTACCAGGACATTTTAGAGCACTTCATGCTTCCTTCTTCTGACAAGCTTTATAGAGATGCTGATTTCATTTTCCAGCAGGACTTGGCACCTGCCCACACTGCCAAAAGTACTAAGACCTGGTTTAGAGCTGAAGGCCGCTATCAAAGCAACCTGGGCTTCCATAACACCTCAGCAGAGCCACAGGCTGATCGCCTCCATGCCACGCCGCATTGATGCAGTAATTCATGCAAAAGGAGGCCCAACAAAGTATAGTGCAAACACATGAACATACCTTTCAGAAGGCCGACATTTCTGTATTTATTTATGTAATATTCAAATTTTCCGAGATACTGATTTTTGGGTTTTCATGAGCTGTAAGCCGTATTCATCAAGATTAAAACAAATAAATGTTTGACATATTTCACTTCGTGTGTAATGAATCCATATAATATATGAGTTTCACTTTTTGAATTGAATTAATGAAATAAATTAACTTTTCCACGATATTCAAATGTATTGAGATGCACCTGTATATCAGCTTCCAGTTTCTGTTGCCAGATTTCGTTACACACGTTTGTACTTTTTCAAAGCCTGTCTCTGAGACATTTCTCCCATTAAATAGCAAGGATGATGACGGTTCATAAAACTTGCAAAGAAAGCAGCGTTTATTCCCAGGTTTACTTGCAACCTTTCATCACAAGTTGCAAGTCTATGACAATATGTTGTTGCAGTTTAATCGACTAATAAAATGATACAATGTTTCTTCAAAAAGAAATATAATTAAAGCTGAAATAAAAGAGAAAAGTTCTGCAGACCCGCCTGCTGTCTGCGCTGAGACAACACGTGAGGTTGTGTGGATGTAGTTGTGTATTGTGTGTCAGTACCTGGAACGTAGTCTCCGAAGCCGACAGTGGTGAGAGTGATGACCACAAAGTAGAGCGACTCCAGAAAGGACCATTTCTCCACTTTCTGAAACACGACAGTTGGCACGGCGAGGAAGATCAAACAACCAATCAGGATGGAGAGAACGGCTGAGATCACACGCACCGTGGTCGGCCTGACCTTACGCTTCTGAGAGAGGAAGACAACAGCAAATAGAGAGGAAACAAATGAATACTTAAGACTGTAAAGATGGGATTAAGTCTACAAGACGTTAGAGGTAGAAGTTTGTATTAACGCATAACCCATTTTATTACATCAGGCTTTCAGTCTAGAACCCTAAAATGTTTTAGTTTTTCTTACTTCCCACCAGATTGAATCATTTTCTCATGTTTGAAATATATGATATTTTCCTGGTTTCCACTAAAAACATGTCTGCTGTATTAGTTGTTTGATGAAAATCAATGTTGTTGCAAATCAATGACATATCCCAGAATGTGGACAAAAAGTAAAAATGTATTCAAGAGTAAAGTAAAAAATCTGAAGCATTGATCTTTTTTTAAAGACATCCAGGCAGCTTAAATGATGCACAACCAGGCAAGCTAAAGCCCACTTCTTTAATAACTCCGGGAAGGTTCACATCCCATTAGGAGGTTCTTAACTAAACAATCCAACAGCACTCAGTTATTCACTGCTAAAGACCAAAGGGGTCTGGGCCTCTTGGGGTTTGTAAATCCAACTGAGGTTTGTTCCCGGAGAGGACAGACCATTCTCACCAGAAAGAGAGTCTCAATCTTGGCCACGGCTCTGCGCAGCACCGTGCCCATGTGGTCGCCCACTCCAGCGAGCAGAATGCCAAACATCGGGATGCCCACCAGAGCGTAGCACACGCAGAACAGCTGGCCGTACCACGTCCGAGGAGACAGGTTCCCAAAACCTGGGAGAAAATAAAAGCACAAACTCATGGATTCATTGGTATGGCTGAATACCCAGACTGCAGTCTAATAGAAGTCCATGTGAGACCAGACATGTTATGAGTCAGTGTCCTGCTCTCAGTGTTTTACAGGGTTTTGGTTGTGAAGATGATGCAGGGTCATGCGTGTTCAGAGTCAAACTCAAATATTTTAGATATTGTTCTGCTATTAATACTATTCTACAACATTTCAGCATGTTATCTTCACTTCAAGAGCATATTGTATGCAAGTAACTTCAAAGTGCAGCTCGAAGTCCCTGCCTACCTATGGTGGTGATGATGGTACCACAGAAGAAGAAGGCGGAGGCCAGGTCCCAGCGGCTGGTGAAGTTGGCAAAGAGGTTGTTCACATCCAGGCCGGCCTCCACCGCAGACACCACTCCCTGCAGGGGGGGGGGGTCATTTATTTAACTGGTCATTTATCTTCAAATACAGGTAAGTATCTGAGATGGATACGCTACATTTCTCATGGGTCAAACACTTGGGCCTCACTAGGGAAATAGGGTTATTGTATGGAGTATTTTAAACTCAATGAAACATGATTTTCGGGCCAGTTTCAAGAATTCTCTTTTTTCTATGATTTCCATATGTATTTTCAGACAACTATAAGCGAAGATAAAAATGTGCATATAAAGATAAGAGCAGAAACAGAACCCCAAAAGATTAAATGGTATTTATGATTTACAAAGTCAGTGTGTGAGGGATTAAGTAACAAGTGTGTCCAATGTTACCTTCACCAGCTCTTTGAAGTCATCCTCTGTGACGCATGAGTTGTTATTAAGGAAGATGTTCTTGGTGTTCTGCAGTTTTTGAAATGCAGATTCCTCCTCGGGGAACTCCAGGGTGCCGAAAACAAGTGCTCCCATCACCAGGTACAGCATGACCCCCGTCAGCAGGGCCAAGAGGGTGGTACACCGCATGTTGTCCCCGTGGACCCCCCCTGCCCCTCCAGGGTTAGAGGGTCAGAGCTCAGGGGCCGGGATCTGGTCGGGTTAGTCAGGATACTCTGGTGCACAGCTGGGCATAAACAGGAAGTTCCTTGTGTGAGCACGGAAATGTGTAAGAGAGCAACGCAAGTGTTCTTGGAAGGCTGACATACATTAACAACCTTTATTTATATATCTGTGCGTCAAACCAAAGAGACGGTCTCTGACAGGAAGAGTCAGAAGGTAGGAGCGGACAAGAGGTGTAAAATAAGCCTTACAGTGTCAGTGGTTACATCAACACTGACACTGGTGTTAAAGGAGAACTCCAGCAATTCAGTTCTCTACTTGTTTATTATAATGTATAGGCTTTAAAAGGAATACAAACCAAGGGTAAAACTGAAGAAGCAAGGCATCCCGACTGCCCTTTGTTTGGCTCAGGCACCAAAAACATTGAATCCTTCCTTTCACATAGTGCAGCTTCATATTGTTTCATTATGTAAAGTTGTAATAAAGACTTGGAAAGTTTCTGAAAGCTTGGATATATCAACCTTGACACTTAGAACGGGTGCCTAACCATAATGCAACACCATCGCCATTAGTTAAGCCAGAGTTTAACTTTGGTTCTACTAGTAGCGGCTAATATAGACTTCTGCAGAGATGAGGTTATTTCTTTCTTTAAAAAGGACCCCTATTATACTGTTTTTCATCAATATATTATAGGTCTCAGATATATACAAAACATGTCTCGGAAGTATTTGGACCGAAAAACCAAACAGACCATGCATTAGGCGCGTTCACACCGGAGTACTTTTCCCCGTACTTTTCCCGTTTAGTTCCGATAGTGCCTGGAATTTTGTGTTCACACAAAAAGAGAACTTAGTTCCGAGAACTTTTACCCCCATTTGTAGTGCCTGCTAGAGAGGTGGTACTAACCTGGGGAGAAAAAAGTACCAATTTCGATTGGCTGGGCGAATTGCAAACCACGCCCCGTAAAACTGAAGCCGCCGTTATATTTGCTGGCATTAGCATTATTAGCATTAACCCCGTGCACCAACGGATAGAGAATAACTTATGGCAACACAAAAAAAAACATGGGAGCGGTGGAGATGAGGTGTCGGCGTTCTGGCGATTTATTCGGAAGGCTTCAGTTGAAGCTGCTGGGACTCCCAGCAGCTTCTACTGAAGCCAGTCCCCAACTCCAGCAGCTTCTACGTTATGACATCATAAAGTGGCCAAAATCTGATCAGCTCATTTTATATATATTTTTATAACAGGTTTTATATAAATGGATCAGGACAAAAAGTGAGTGAATCTTTTTTCCTGAAACTTTCAGAATCTCTTTACACAGAGGGGACACATGTTTATGTAGAAAAGACATGGAAAAGTGGATTTTGCACAATAGGTGACCTTTAACTACTTTGACACACATTTATTTTTCCTTTAAAATTCAGTTGTCTTTAAACCCAACTGAAGCTGAAGTGACATCACATTAGTTGATTGACCAGACTTCACACAAACCCTCTGGAGCCACAAAAGACTTTGGAAAACTGTTATCACATGCAGTATCACTCCCAGAGACATGAACAGATGTAGATGTGTAAAAACTAGTTCCTCTTTAGTGATTTATGCCCCATTAAATGAATACATTGTTGTATTGACAATTCAAAGTATTTGAATACTCATTATTTTATATAATTACAACCTTCATCACATCTCTATAGTCCATCCCAAATCACATGAAAGCGATATTTGACTTATTTTACTTCCTGATGAATGTCTACAATAATACAAAAACAACGACACCAACAGTTTCTTACCTCTGTCATACATTGTCAGTAGTCTACACCCCATCAGAGATATTCCATTATTATAGTTATGGATATTTCAAAGACCAATAAGACAGCTGTTTTCACAGGAACTAGTAAACCTCATGACAAGTAAACATCTTTTTGAGTCAAGTCAGTGGAATGCTCCTTTTGGTCGCCAGGTAAACATATCCCAAAAAAAGTCTTCTGTTTCCTGTGTCCCACTGTGTGAGGTTAACTTGATGTGTGCCAATAATCGCTCCAAAAAAACAAAAAAAACACATCAAAGAACACAGATAGGAAGAGACGAGCTCATATCACAATCTACGAGACTGGAAAAGAAGGGCAGCTTGTTTAGAAGTAGGGGCAATGCGACCTCACTCAAACGCAGCAATATTGTAATTTTGAAAATAACTATTGTTCATGCTTTCTGTGGTTTCTTTCAAGATGGATAAATAATGTTTTATTACCGAGAGGATATTAAAAAAGTACCTTATTACACTGATGTCAGGAGCTCATCCCATGTTAAAGCTCCAGAAATCAGGTGACAGAGAAATCTTTGAATCCTCTTTTCACTGAGTCTCTGCTCTGCTTTGGTCCTGTTAAAGTGTAAATGTAGATTATAGCATTGAGGAACAGAACAGCTTTAAAGTTAGCACATTTCCCTGTCTGGTACAGCAGGGAATGAGTGGCATTAAATAAGTGTTCGCATTGGAGAGACTTTGTCATAATAACCAGAAGAAACTGATGCACTGCAGGCCGTCCGGCAGTGGGCTCACAAACGATTACACTCTGCCAATGCTCCAAACATACATCTCAACATGAATCGAAAACATGTATCGCTTATCTTCATTTGGCCTCTAATGTTTTCTTTCAACTGTGTGTACGTACGTACGTACACACACACACACACACACACACACACACACACACACACACACACACACACACACACACACACACACACACCACACACACACACACACACACACACATCACACACATGGACACACACAGACACACACACACACAACACACACACCACACACACACACACACACACACACCACACACACACACACATCACACACATACACACACACACCACACACACACACACACACACACACTCCACACACACACACACACACACACACACACACACACACACACACACACCCACACACACACACTACACACACACACACCACACACACACACACACACACACCACCACACACACCACACACACACACACACACACCACACACACACACACCACACACACACACCCACTTACACACACACACACACACACACACACACACACACACACACCACACACACACACACACACACACACACACACACACACACACACACACACACATCACACACACACACACACACACACACACACACACACACACACACACACACACACACACACACACACACACACACACCCACACACCACACACACACAGGATCTAGGCGATCTGGGTCAGTCTCCACATGGACCTTGACAATGTTCTGACATTTCCCAGAGTCTGGCCCACTGTTAGCATTCTGCGCTAATGGACTGTTGGCTTGGTTTGTGAGGACCGTCTCACTCTCCCCTGGCTTCAACACTGACAGATATTATTAGTTACCACTGTCTAAACCTCTGCTGGCATGTTTTGATATTTTGCTAAGATATTGAGTGAGGGGGGCTTAGAAAGAGCAGGACTGTGGCTGACAGGCGGTGATCTAATCTTAAATTAAACAGTGGAGGCAGGTGGGGAAATAAATCATGATGTGATCTGAGAAGAAACACAAGGCTAGGAAATGTTCGTTGTTTCTGTTCTGAGGTCTGAATTTAACTTAAGGCAGGTGAGTAAGACGAATCCAAGCAAACAGAGGTGAACTATAGAAACAAAATAAATGAAAACAATTGGAAACGTTCCTTTCAACCTTTTTAGCGTCTAGATCGTCAGTGTTTGGGGTCCGAGAGACTCTGAGCGCTTTTGAACAACTACAAAAAAAAACATATGTCAAGTCCCCCCACTCAAATGTGTGTTTTGCTTGGTAGTGTGCACTAGAAGGCTGTTTTCACATTAATCTGCTGAACATGGAACTCTGTGCTCACATTAAATTCTGAGTGTATCACGTGTACGTACAAGCTGAATATATTACATCACAACTAGTTTGCGTTAATTGTGGTCCAGTATGCAACTTATAGTGTAATGTGGGTTTAACTTTAACTTGATTGCACGTGCACCAAGGACACATTTAACAGTGAATCTTGCTTTTAAATTGAACAAGAATTGTATATTCATATTACAGATTTTATATTGTGGAGGAAACCTTCGGAAACAATGAAAAGGCCCTGAAAATATAATTCCGGTGCTGCTTTTTAAAAAAATCTAATGAAAACTTTGTGGTCTGTTGTGTTTATAACTCAAGAACAGAGATAGGAAAGGAAAGGTTTTGCCAGGAAAATCTTCATCACTTCCTTTAAAAAATGCTTGTTTGTTGTTGTACTACTTATTTAGGCCACAAAAGGCAAAGTCCACCATCAACCAATGTTCTGAATAAAACTAAAAGTGTGTTTTTCTTCAAGCTGAGGTTTCATTGAGAGAGCATGGAGAACTTAGACCTGCCCTGAAAGAAATTACTAATGCTTTTAGTTAGAGGGCATGGGGAAGTGCTGCACTTCACACACAAAACACTTTTGATGTAACTTAGATACTTTTTGAACTGTTCTGGAGTGAAAACATAATTAGATTTTTTTTAAAGGCCTTTCAGGGATAATAGAACAATGAACATTCAAAGAGCATTTTGTAAGTGTCATATGGGGAGATATTAAAAAAGGATTTTGTCACCTCAATAAAAATGACTTGTCCTATTTTAAAAGAATTGCTCAACATACTGTATTTATCCTCTTGTATTTGCATAGCTAATATAAATAGAATAAGTCACTTGATTGCCATGCTGTGCAGAAAAGAGAGGTTCAACAATATAACATTTAAAAAAACTATTTTAAAACATACAAAGCTTACGGTGTGTGTAATGTTGTATTTAGTTTTTTCTAATATGTAGTCAGTTTGTGAAAAGAGTGTTATCACTTTAAATATCCTGCATATGGGTTTGTATTTAAGGTATTACATTTCACTCCAAACTATAAAGATGTAATTGACTGTATCTGTATAAAGATGAAACAAGAAGAGCTGTTTGTTACGGTCATCTGCTGTCTGATTCGGTCCCACGCTTTTATCTGCTTTCATAAATCTCCAGAGATTAATATGATCGTCTGTGGGCGAGGACACAACATAATGTACTATTCTGGGGGGAAATAAACCCCCTTTAGATGCAATTACCCCCCGAAGTATTTTCCTCTTTTCTAGTGAAGCAACGTCAGAGAGATCACAGGTTACAACTTCTGGTTCTCTGGTTTCATGCTCTGGGACAAGAATGATCCGCAAAAATAATGATAGGACTGTGTCGGACAGAAGTCGCATACAGCAAGATAAACTATATAAATATACAGATATAAATAATAAACATTTTCTCTGAGGCTATATAACCAAAAGAGAATCTCCAATCAAACACTTGAAATGCAGCAGCAGATGCCAGACAATTTAAAATACAGTTTTAAGCTTAGTTTCTTTCTAAATGCTGCACTTTAATAACTGTGTTGTCAGAAGGGTCAGTGTGTGAGAGTTTATATTGGCAGGGCAGTTAGAGCATCTCTTTGTAAGCAGTGTGACAGTCTACTACGTATACTTGGTATCCTGTAATTAATAACAAAAAAGGAATTTAGGAGACAAACTCCAAAAACCAAGCAGCACTTATGATCAAAAAACAAAGTCCGCTTTTAAAGTGACGTAAAACATTAGCATCTTCTCAAATGTACGGGTGAAATAACTCTCGGTACCCCCCCCCCCCCCGAAAAGAAATGATTGTTGCATGTCTTACCTGTAGTTTGGAGAAATGCTGCTATCCAAGTTGGTCTCGTGCAGGATGTACCGTTCTCTCACAATTCAGCGCTCAGCGAGGACCTCTCTGCGAGTGTGCGTGTGATGTGAAAGTACATGTGTGCATTTCTCCTTGGAAGGTGTTTCCCCATGCTCGTGACCCTACATCACTCTGACAGAGGAGAACATATTGTAGGAGGAGGAGAAGAAAGGGACGAGGCATGTGAAGTCCATTACAGCGTGCGAGTGTGATTAAGTGCCGTCGCTGCAGAGGAAGAGCAGAGGGCCTCGGAGTTTCCTGAGCTGGACGTGGGGGGGCTCGGCTCTCTAAACCCTCGTCTTTCCATCCTCTGTCTTTTGGGGAAGTCAAAAGAGACACTTGTTTCTCCAAAGTCAGAGTTATGGTCCACACAGTTTTTCTTGCTCTTAAGGAGGAATTGCATAATGAGTTATAACAAACTCTAAAAGTTGGAGAGCGCCTTTTCCATCACCGCTTTAATTCTTTGATCAAAGCCTGCTCCTTTAAAGCTCTCAGCACCTTCGACAACGTGCTCATGACCGAGAGGCAAAGGGAGAGGACTTTGGTAATTGCGGAAATACTTATGTGATTTAAACAAGATATTCCACTTAAACACTTTGAGGCTCTCCTCATTGGACCAGGGCACTCATTTAGACTAAATGTCTAAAAGCAGTACAAAAACAACTCCTTGAAAAAGGCCTAACGCCGGTCACCACTTCTCAGACACAAAGGCGCTCATAGATAAATAAATCCAAACAACAGACACAAGTTAAATTACGAGCAAGTCTTTTATTTTTGCCGCAAACACAACACAGATACATTCAGACATGGAGTGTCCAAAACAAGGCAACAAATACATCAAGTCAACCCCAGCTCACTGCCAAAAGACTACAGATCCCAGAGATGTTAAGGCAGAATGCAAGAGTGTGTGTGCGTGTGTGTGTGTGTGTGTGTGTGTGTGTGTGTGTGTGTGTGTACACATGGCAAATAAATAGTGATGGCATGGAGTCAGGACAGTCCACACTTCTCTGACTAGGTCAACAAACCAAGGCCAGGTGGAAAGGATTCTACCGCTCAATAAAATGAAATATGTAATTAAAATTTAAATAAATCACTTTTAACACAAATATGCCAAAAAACATCCACTGAAAAATCTCAGCGGGGTTTCAAAGGATAAGTTCACATTTGTTTCAATCCGTCTTAAAAAATAAAAAACTTGCTCTCCAATGTATAACATTTAAATAATGAATGCTGTAATTGTTGCTCGTGTCCTTTCAAAGATGTTTTAAAGCTATTGTAGTGTCCTTAATCAGTAACAAAACCCACTCAAGCTAATATGAAACTTCAGCAAAACAAATGGAGCGGGTATCCTGTAAAGTTCTAGTGACCTCTCTGTGTTACTACTCTATCAAACATCGGCAAGTGACTGTTTGCTAGCGGTGTAACACTATAGACATGTATTGAATCTCAGAAAAATGGTTTGCAGACAAGAGTTCATGGATAACTGCATTTGAATAAACGTTGTGAATTTATCCGTCCCTTTTGCAACCAAGCTGAAGATGTCAATGTACACGTGGGTCTCTGAGAGTTTTAAGGCAGACTTGATGACAGGGCATTTTCTTTGCTCCATATAAACCTTTTTGTAGCCCAAAATATTTGCATATCTTGCAGCCTTGGACATGAAAACAATATGAACCCATCCTCTTACTTACAAAGCTTGCAAGCCAGCAAAGTAGAGAGATCCCCTGTCGTAGGGCGTAACACAAACTGTACATATACCGGTACTACAAACTTATCTACAAAATCTACAAAATCTACAGTGTTCATCTACATGTGGGCTACCGTTATCTAAGCAAAGTAACAAATGTGCAAGATCCCAAATCTATCGACAACGTCATATCTCATCACTCAAATAAATTATATAAGCTATCTGAAATTGTCTTTATGCTAATAAAGTAAAGCTTAAAATGATTTTTTTGGGTTGATTCAACCACTGAGTGCTCGTTAGTGTAAGACAGAGAAGCAAAGCAGCCGAAGGAGCAGAGAGGGAGCGCAGCGTGTATCACCATACATGGAGCGGAAACAACACAGGTTACACTGAGTCATAGACATGTGCTCACCCCCTCTCTCTCCTACACACACATCAAGAAGAGGACACACATGTCCATATTCACAGCTGATCTCACACACACACGCGCACGCCTTCTACTGAAACACATTCAAGTGTCCATAAATAAGCCCTCAAGGATAAAAAGAAGGAAATAAACTAATCTAATTTCCCCAACAGGCCTCTCTTTGGAAAGTAAGTCAAACTTATCTTGACACGCACTTGTTTAGGAAAAGCATGAACTAGGCACTGTTTCATTCAAAGCTGGCTGAAGCTAGACCCACAGTGGAGACTACAAACTAAAACAGTCCCTTTGGAAAAGTGGTTGTAAACTTCAAATAAACATCAACAAACATCCCTAACTCTGTACCTCTGCACACAGACATACAGGTGACACCCTCGTGATGGAGGTCAGAGTCTCCACACAGTCATTGGAGGATAAACTAGTGATCATTTAGATATAAATGCACAGTGGAAGTGTTCCCTCTGCAGGCCCAGTTACCTGTTCACACCCAGAGGTCCCTGTGTGAGAGCAGCTCTCTACACGGGCCCTGCGCTGGTCTGATGCTTCAGAGCGATGGTGACAGAGAGGCTGAAGAGCTGCCATCACTGAGGTTCCTCTTCAAGCCGCTGTGATCAGTTCTTTCACCAGATCTCTAGGTAACCGGTACACAAAACATAGAGTCAACCTTTCGGCTTAATAGGAGTCAACATCTCAACTAAACCAAATAAAGAAGCAAATAATAATAATTAAACAACATATTTGTACGTTTATCTAATGCATTCTTTGGGTGAGGCGATACTGAGATAACACACACACTACTTGCTTTGTCTCTGCCGTGGCACAGGGGGAATATCCTCACACACACACTTTGATTTGTAATTAATAAGCCACACTATCGCACTTTGTGACATGTTTGTGATTAAGATAAACATTGGAACAAAGGCTGCAAATAAAGATAATTGTTTCAGTTAGTTAGATTTGTTTTAAAGGGAACAACAACCTTGAGGCTGTGCATCAGAAACTGGTTGGGAAGATCGGAAACAACACAGAAAAACTAAATTATAGTTTCCGTCCAAACAAAACCCATTACTTATAGTGAAAATCACCCGTGAATGATGGGATAGTAGACTAACAGCTTTATGAATCCAAACTATAACATATAATCAGTACCCTGTATCAAGATTGATGCAAACAAAGTGAAATTTGACCTTTTTAGAGAGGTTTAGAAAAAAACCACCTCTGGGGTCATTTGGGTGGATTTTCCATATCTCTGGAACCCATTGGTCGATGTTGGTAATTGACACCTCTTTTGAACCGATAGAGCCAATAGAATCGAGGGGAGGTTCCTAAGTAAGGGATAATGTGCAGCGACGCGGTCATTATGGGGAAAAGAACACCGACAGGCTGATCAGGAGCCCAACGCGAAGCGGAGGGATCTAGATCGGCATGAATCGAGTATTCAACTAAACCATGTAATAAATCCATCTAAACATTACCATTGGTGAATGAGAGTGATGCGTAGCCAGAATGCCCCGGAACCGGAAGCTGTCATAGACTCTCGTAGCTATCATAGCAGCTAATGTGAAATCTCCGTTATTGACATAAAATGGAATGATGGATTATCAGGAATCTTTTCAAAGTGACACAGAGACATTGGATTAACCTTCAGCAGTGATGTTATCGTTTTAATGCCATTGAACACAACTTTTGATCAGAAAACAACAGAGGTAAGACGTTTTTAGCCGTTTTGGCTCCGTAAAGCAAATGTTGTTGTTGTTGTTTGTTGTAGTTTCGCCGCGAGCTCTGATCGCTCAGTGATGATACTTATATGTCTGGAATCTGTGGAATGTCAGCTCGCTAATCGATATCTTGTTTGTGCAGATCCGATAAGTAATAAGGGTATTTTACCTTGAGTTCTATGCTAAGGTCTATGCTTTTTTCACTCAGGGCTAATTCAGAGCCTTTGATATTAATATTGTCAGGTAGCTGAGTTTCTTCCCGTTAAGTGGGTATGACACATTCATAGTTTGTTAAATATTAGCCCTCAGACGCTGTTTCTTGCAAGATGTTGCGTTTTGCCCCCGCCCGTGGGGCCGTGGGGTTTAACTGGTTAATGTAACACTGATTGTCCCATTGTCTCTGAAGGTTACCTGTAGCTGTGCTTTAATCCGTCTCCTCCTCCTGTCTCCTGTCTTTCTGAGGCGCAGGCACCACAGACGTCCCTAACAAACCTCTCCTCACGATGTAGGGACACGAAGGACCGCTGGGGATGTCGGCAAAACCTGCAGGACGGGAAGAAGGGCCGACAGGTGGATAAATAAGAGGATTAGGGGGAAAGAAGATGAAGAACAGAGTGATGAAGAACAGAGAGCAGGAACAGCAGGAACTTCTGTTTTCTGTACAGTCACAAGCGAGATTCAGATACTCGGAGACTGTGCCCATAAACACTTCTGACAGTCGGGCTATTTATAATCCAGCTTTCACCGCATGGCTCTCATTGTACAGCTGGAACACATGTTTCTTATGTGTGTGTGTGTTCTTTTCTTCACACACAAAGTTACAGGAACAAAGTTACCTTTCATGACGACCTCCGGCAGTCCGTAGGGTTCGTACTCTGTGTCGTCGAAGGCAGCCGACAGCTGCGTCCTGTTGCGTCGGATTCGTTCAGCCAGACGGGCCGGGTCAGACGGGATGGGGAAGGAACCCGAAAACAACACCTTGAGTCCTAACTCTGCTGCCTCAGATCGTGTGATAGGAGAGACAGGAGGGGATTCTACCAACTCTTCCTCCTCCTCTTCCTCAGTCTGTGTGTGCGCACAGTGGAGTTCAGGTGGAGCACTGCGAGGGTTCAAACTCTCTTCCGTTTGACTGCTGACACTTTTCATTTCTGTCCTGCCATGTTTCCCTGAGGAACCATGGGTTGTGTTTGTTTCGCTGGTTGCTGTGAGAGCATCAGGTGTGGCCTCAGGAGGACACTCAGATGATATGGTCTGCTTCGGCCCCGAGACCTTCAGGAACTCTTTGTTGGAATGTGGTTGCCCTGTTTTCTCAGAGATCATTTGGATAACTTCAGTGTCTCTCCTCTCTTTGTGTTGTGTTTGAAACGTGTTGGACTGATGCAAGAAGTTGATCTCCTGGTTTTCTTTTTCAGACTCCTGAGTCAAAAGAAACAAGACAATGTAAGGCCTAATCCACAAAGACGTGTGCACAATAATCGAAAAACAGTATTTTATATATTTTTTATATTCCCCTAGTAACGACAAGAACTGAGGATAGGCAGGTGTTTTTTAGTTTAGATACGAAAAGGAGTTATGGACACGCTTCATAGGATTCATAGAGAGAAAAATTAATAAAACGAGGCCACGCTTTATTAATCTGTGCACACGATATACTTTCTCGTTCGCACGATATACTTTCTCGTGAAGAATATGTCCGATCGCCAGGGCGCGCGCGTGCGTGGGCATTTGTTTATGATAGTGTTGTTCGTTCCGGTGCACTCCGGCAGGACTATAATAGCACTACATCGAGATTAAGATTAAACGAATTTCTTCCACTTGGGAATACACATATAACTATGGAGAACCAGATTTGTGTAAATTACTGTTCATGGTCATTTGAAAACAAATGCCGGTGGTGTCGGACACACACAAACACACCGAACACACACACATCATGCGCCCTGGTGACCGGACATCTCCTTCATAAATCGAGTAATAGGGGGAATACTCTGGTAGTTCGATGTGTGTAGAGGTGTGTGTGGTTAAACGTAGCAGCCTTGATCTCTATTCAGCTGTTCTAATGAAGGGAAACACAGTGAAGTAAACAGTAAAAGGCTCTTCTCAGATTCTGCTGAGTTACACGTTACTGTCTCCAGTGCCCTGTACGACGAAGCCAGTTCAACAGACCCTGGATATGTTTGAGTTACCCGGCTTAACTAATCCTAAATGCGATCTCGCTAAGCGGTCCTACGAAGCTGGTTATCAACTCAGTAAATCAACCAGGGTTTCTCTGTCCGGCTGAGAGCACGTTCACGTGAAAGGGACGGGGTTAGCAACATTTGACCAATCACAAACATGGAGAAGCGTGCTGACAGAGCAGCGTCATACTTCATGAATGAATAGTAAATAGCAAATCCTGCTTCGTAGTACAGGCCACTGGTGCCGCAGAGATTTCATAAAGTGAAGGAGGTTTTCCTTCTATAAAACAGCTGTGGGCAGCAGATACTGTGAGAGTCACGGACATTAATTCATAGATCAAAACAGACTGGTTTACAGACTTCTGTTTTGCGAATCCGGTGCTTAAACAAATAGCTCTTAACCCCTGACCAAAATGTCCCTAAATGAAGTTCGAGTTTGAAATATATCTCAAATAATGTATGCACTGCCATTTCTCCACATAAACATAACAGTCTGCAATGAAACGGTTGTCTCCTCTGTGCTCGACTTCGTACTTGGCGCACCGGTAACTTTCTCGTGCGAACGAGAAACTAACGAAATACTTTCTCGTTCGCACGAGATAGTATTTCGTGCGAACGAGAAAGTATTTCGTTTCTCGTACATTGTGCGCACAAGATACTTTTTTTTTTCTCTCCATGAACTTTTAGGGGCTCTGTATAATTCACTTCAGAAACACTTTGTTATATTCCATGGGATGCTCTTAACATCCCAATAGTAATGAATATATTAAATGCTTGGACAATAAATACATCAAAAAATGTCATCTGTGAAAACCGTGGCGCTGTAAAAAGCACGACTAATTATTTTAGCGGCTAAAGTAACTGGATGGCCTACCTGCCTGTCAGCCTTCCATCTTGTGCACAAACTTATCTCGTGCCCTCATTGGTCATGTACGCGTTCGTGTGTGTTGGAGGAGGGGCTCTATAAGGAAGTCTGAAGGAAGGGGCAGATTTTTTTCGGTTGTGTATTTTTTTTTTAATTCTAGCGCACTCGAGCATTCTTACCTTTAACATTCTACCTTTAACCTTAGCAGTGGGCTGGTATGGCAGTGAGTCATCCTTAAAGGGAAACTAACCTTGTCGATGGTGTCATTGTGTTGAAGAAGCTCTGCAGTGTTTTTGGAGGGATGGAGACTCTTGGGTTCGGGCAGGTTGCTGTGCTGAAGTCTTTTGGTAAAACAGCAAACACATGTAATCAAAGCATGAACAAAGGAAAACAGAGGCTTAAATACAGACACCCTAAAGATATGCATTTAACAGTTTCCTGTAAGTTAATGCCATATATTTATATAGTTTCTGTAGCTCTGAGAGAGTGAGTGTGTTACCTGGAGAACAACATGCGGCCCTGCAGCTTGTTGGAGGAGCAGGACAGGAGTAACTCGTCTTCTCTGATGACTGTCACATATTCGGGGCTCTCCTGCAGACCCAGGGGAGGCGCCGGGCCCGGGGTCATCTCATCCCCCGGCTGCTGGTCTGCCTGGGACCGTCTGACAGCAGGAATCTGTTCTGGGGTCTCAGACTGGTTGTCTGTGTTGGGAAGGGTCTGGTCGAGTGTTGGGGCTGGTTTGGAGGCCAGTCTCCACATGACGAGCTCCTGGGACTGCTGCTGGGTCTCTGCGGAGAGAGAGCGCAGCCTCCTCTGCAGCTCCTCCACCTGGACAGGAGGGGAAGCACAGGACACAAGGAATCACATACTACTCACTTTGGAAACACAGGAACAAAATATGTCAATACCAAGCCCCCAGGAAATGCGCCGGACTCTGTGCCAACATTCGTTGTGTCCAAACGGCGGTACTGCAACTCCCGTATCAGTCCGTGACGTCACCCGGCCCAAAACAACTTTTCCCCATTGACTAACATGGGGAAATAATTGGATAATTTTTTTTAAACTAAATAAACTACCCAGTATTAACTATATTATAGCCCTTATTAGAATCATTCGGTCCTTAAAGTTGTAAAATGCACTAAAAGCCGAATCTAGATTTATTTTCTCTCTCCATTCATTCTAGTGAGCCAAGAGTGGGAGCTCGGGGGGCGGGGCTTAAGGGGCACATGCTCTGTGAGCGCACATACGGGTTCTTCTGCTCTGGCAGCCAGGCATGATGGGTAATCTGTGACGTTTCGCTCTCTCAAAAGTGGGGCCATTTTGTCTTCTTGCGCCAATGAGCAGCTCTCATAGGAAAGAACGAGACCCCGCCTCCCACGCTGTATCCAGTTCTTATTATACATCCATGATCAATACTTCCAAGGTAATGTAGGAACTAGGAAAGAGTTTATGTTGGTGTCAAAACAAATAATTCTGAATAAACTGTTTTAATTACCGTACTTAATCTTTTATATATTTCATTAACTTGAACTATTTCTATCTCTGTTCTTCAGTTAGATATGTCTCAGTTTAGTGTTTGGCGGTAGAACCCCGTCACTACCTGTTGATGCAGTCGGTCGATCTGAAGCTCTGCCTCCTGCTCCTCTTCAGCCTTTGAAGTCCTCCCATCGTCCCGTTCTGAGTCTCCACCTTCATCTCCCCTCCCGCTAACATCCTGCGGGCGTGCGTCAGAGCTGATGTCAGTCGGCACACTAGGTGACCTCTGTTCCTCCAAGCAGCACACAGCAGCATTTCCTGTGTCTTGGCTTTGTTTAACTGAGTCGTGTTTGTTTTCACTGTCAGTGTGTGCAGCTGGGGCCCTGGAGTCTGAGATACTCACTCCTTCTAGTCTCAGCTTCTGATTGGCCAATAGTGCGAGCGGTTCTGCATTCACATCTGCTGTTCCTCCACCTTGAGTCTCACCCATCACACAAGCAGAGTCTTGGTTAATCTGAGTCACACTCTCTAGTTGACCTGCGTCTCTCTCAGAGACACCGTCTTTAGCTGAGTTTGTCTCGAGCACAGTGACCGCACACTTATTTTCCTGATGTGACTGAATCGACCTCTCAACTCGTGTCTCTTGTTGTTCACCGTGCTCCACCTCTTTGACCGTCATCCCTTCTCTTTTCTTCTCCTCAGAGTGGGTCTTGAGCACTTCCAGCTCTTGCTTGTGGCGCTGCAGTTCCTCTCCCTGGCTGAGGAGGGCGCTGTCCTTCTCCTGCAGCTCAGCTAACAGACCAGAGATGTGCTGGCTCTGATTCTCAAAGGCCATGGTGAGCTGCTTTGTCTGACGTGTCACCTGAGAAGAATATAATAAAAAGGGCAGACGAAAGGAGAAAAGGTTTATTAGAAAACAGGAAAGAAGCCACTAAAGCCAGGGTGTTACTGTGTTTTAGAACAGCTACCACAACACAACTTCAAAAGGCAAGCCAAAGAATGCTAAAGTTTTTGTTTCCATTCGCTGTATAATGGTACAACTAACTACAATAGGAAGCGAATGCTATTATTTTAATGACTTCTGTCTGTAACCTCACCGGGTGCACAGCCTCCCATTTGATCTGAGAACAGCAACCTCAAAGTAAATAATATATTATCATTTTTTAAATTTGGCTTATAATTTGGGGCAATTGTAATTTTTCAGTAGTATTACTGTTCATGCATGTTTTTATTGTTTTATGGTTCAGTGATACCTTGTTTTTAAATTATGTTCCTCATTTGTTATTGTTTTTTTCAAACCTTTATTCAACCCATTGAGATCATCGTTCTCTTTTTCAAGGGAGACCTGTCCAACATGGCCGCAAGTAGGTTACAACGTGAACAGAAAACAACAGATAACACAAAAGGACATCGTATTTACAGGGCTACATGTACATATCTAGAGACATTGACAAGTACCAACAGTGCCAAGTACCAACAGTGCCAAGTACCAACAGTGCCAAGTACCAACAGTGCCAAGTACCAACAGTGCCAAGTACCAACAGTACCAAGTACCAACAGTACCAAGCACCAACAGTACCAAGTACCAACAGTACCAAGTACCAACAGTACCAAGCACCAACAGTACCAAGTACCAACAGTACCAAGCACCAACAGTACCAAGCACCAACGGTATCAAGTACCAACAGTACCAAGTACCAACAGTGCCAAGTACCAACAGTACCAAGTACCAACAGTACCAACAGTATCAACAGTACCAACAGTACCAACAGTATCAAGGGCCAATCCGATCAGAAATTTAAGAAAACCGTGGATTTTTGGATCTTCAAAGAGCCCGATTACAATGGCCAGACAGGCAAACAATTATATTAAGCGATTGGAAATCGACGAGTGGGCTTGATATATGGTTAAATATAGCAGTAGGCGATCGATGTCCATAGATGAGAGTAACATCTACGTCACTTTACGGCTCCGCCCACTTTTGGGGTAAACAAAGATGTAATTTGAACGGCGATCGAGCCTGAAGCCACAGAGCTCTTCTTTTACTGTCCTTTCTTCTTAGAGGAAGTCCAGAAACACTGAACTCTGGATTTGTTTTAATGTTTGAGGAGCAATAAACGACACAGCAGCTTTTTGGCATGATAAAACTATTATTTTCCGCCTCGCTCATGAGAGTAACAGCTGGCGAAATTACGGCCTCGCCTACTGATTTTAATTTAACCATATATCGAGCCGGATCGCCGATTTTAAATGATTTAATGTAATTGTTTGCATGTCTGGTCATCGTAATCGGGCTCTTTGAAGATCCAAAAATCCACAGTTTTCTTTAATTTCTGATCGGATTGGCAAAAACTTCAGAATTTGTGTTGACCGCCGTTCAAATGACAGCGTTGTTTTCCCCCAAAAGTGGGCGGGCCGTCATTTTTGCCCGGAAGTGACGTAGGTGTTACTCTCATCTATAGGATTGAGTCTATTGAGGACTAAAGTGTTGTGATTTAGTTAATAACAGTTTTCTTTCTATATTCTCCATATAAATTGTTATATAAACAAACTTAACGTAGTAAATATGATGTATGGTATCCACGTGACATACCTGGCCCTGCAGCGCCTCCAGTTTAACCTGGTACTGATTTGCACGTTCTGTCTCCTTTGCAGTCTGCTTCTGCAGGCACTCCACCTCTTTAGCAACATTTGAAGAGGTGGTCTCAACCTCCTGCAGATCAGAAAGGGATTGGTCTGACGGGGAAGACCCTCTCAGATAGTTTTGCTGGTGGTCTTCACGGTCAGAGGCGGTGTGCCCCTCATTGGACAGAGGTGAGTGTACAGACTCTATCACTGTTTGATCCCCCTGGGTCATGAGACCGCCTGAGGCCTGAGACGCCAGCATGTTGCGCTGGTTGGTGGACTGGCAGAAGAGGAGGTGCTGCTCCGGGGAGGGGAGGAGCTTGTTGTCACAGCGATCGATGTTGGAGTTGAACTCATCGTCACGGAGAGACAGGTAAGTCAGCGGGCTGTTGGCAACTGAGAGTTTGTCCTCTCCCAGCGAGTCTTCTTCTCTGCTGAGCTTCAGTTCCTCCAGCTCAGCTTGAAGTTGTTCCAGCTGCTCCTGGTCTGTCTCTGTCCTTTGCCTTCTCTCATCTTCCTCTCTTCCTCTCTCTTCTCGTTCTAAAGCCAGCTGGGCTTTAACCTCCCCGAGCTGTTTCTTTAGCTGGATATTAAGTTCCATCATTTCACTCTCCCGGTCTTCTAGTGCTTTGTTTTTCCCCTCCTCCTGTTCCTGGATCTCCTTCCTTTCTGTTTCCTCTCTCCCTCTTGTCATCTCCATCTCCAGAGCAGCCATGGCCTTCCTCAACCTCTCCGTCTCCTCCTTCTCACTCTCCAGCTGAGCCCTCCACTGCTTCTCCTGCTCGTCCTTCTCTGCAGTCTGGCCGGCAAGTTTGCGGCCGAGTTGTTTCAGCCGGGTCCTGGCTTCTGTCTCCGCCCGTCTTTGAGCTTCCAGGTCCTCAAGTCGTTTCTGCAGTTCTTCCTCTGCGTCCTGTAGCTCTGACCGCAGTGAGGCATTCTCCCTTTTGAGATCTTCAGAGGGCTTGAGTGAAGGAGTTTCTTCAGCACAAAGGTTTGGACTACATTGATCAACATCCATGGATATGTTAGTGGGCGTACCAGCATCAGAGGGAGAGGAACTAGAGAGGGCTTCATCAAATGTGTGCTTGTTTGTCCCAGTGCTGTCACTCTTTATCACTTCATTTCTACTGTTGTTCTCCTCACTACTGTTTCCTCTGTGTGTGTCCCCCCTGTGAAAGCACTCTGAGTCAGGGGAGAGGCGGTCAGTGATGTGTTCTGCATCTCTGCCTTCGCCCGGCTCTCTGTCCGCGGGGTAAGATGCTGCGATCTCGGCCCTTCTCTTTTCCAAATCCAGGTCCTCCTCCCTCTTCTGCTCGGCTAAGGTGGCAGCGCGGGGCCTCTTGATGTGAGTTGGTGGACCAGAATGTGGAGAGTAAGAGGGGTGAGGAGAGAAACTCTGTCCAACAGGGCAAAACTGGACGGGTTGCTGGGGGGGTGCCTGGACAGCTTTTTCCTCTGGAGTTAAAAGAGTTTTAAAAAATCTGATTAAAATAAATAAATAACAGCAAACAACAATACACATAAAGAAATAACAGGCAGGAGGAAAAAGCAATGAACGTGTGTGCATTGCTGGAATAGTTATTTTGTTTTGATTCTTTTACATGGATGGTGTTTCATTGGTCAGCAGGGGGCAGCGCTGGGAAGAGAGACTTCCGCATTTGTGGAGATTTTACATGATGGGAGCATTTTACACAGCAAAACCAACAATACCAAGCACTCGTTAGGACTCGTGGACTTGACCCTAGTCCCTAACTTTAGGGAAGATTGCTTGGAGGATAAAAAAATATAAATAAAATAGTTTTTCATGTTAAAGCCTTTAACCAACATCATCCCTCAGTCTGTTAAAATAATGCAACTGTTGTTTTTATGAGAAAAAAACTCCAGAATAATTGAAAATACTTTGGATTTTAATTCATTAAAAAACTGTTGAGCAATAAACCAGATATACAAAACATGGAAAAAGGTCAAATCTGGGGGAACATTTGTAAAAACTGCAATTATGAAGTGAGTGATATAGATTGAAAGCCTGACAAAATACATGATTTATGCTGTAATGGCTTTGGGATCAAGGTGTGTGGTTTCAATGAGGACATTTGTGTGTCTGTATTCTGGTTACACAGTTAATACAAGCTTATTATAGAAGCTGGAGTTAAACCTAAAAAATGTGTGAATAATACATCTAACCGCCTTATCAAAATGATAACGCTAATGCAGAAGTTATTTAACTGATAACTCTTAGGGATATGTCCCTCCTCACCCTGCAGCTCTTTGAGGAGACGAAGGGCGTCGGCTCGCTCCTCTGCCAGCCTCCTCCCCTCCTCCTCCAGAGCGCGCTCTCTCTTCCTGCTCTGCTCCAGACTGACGGCCACACCCTCAGCCTCACGCAGCGCTTCCTAAGAGGGTAGACATACAAAACAGGTGGGTTGATTCCAGGGAAATGATCAGACTACATAGAGTGCTCAGTTCTCAGTCGAACCTTTGTATTACATAACAACACAACATGTTTCATTAAACCCCAACATCAGCCTCAACACAGCAAGTCTACCAGATGTATGTTCATGATAAGACATAATTTATTGTGATCAGTTTAAAGCTAATCCACTAATGAGTATCAATCTGTGGAAAATGTCATTAAAATGTTTGCTCTTGGTATCTTGGCATGGTCGACTTCCAGATAAGGAACAAAATAATCTGTGATAGCTCTGTAATCACAGATCCACATGAACACAGTTTCAACATAGCAACAAACCACAGGCCAACAAGCCACAAATAAAGGCAGCATTTAATGCTGACGTTGCAAGCAGTTAAGGAACTTAACAATCTGTGCAATGCGGCATTTACTTATTATTATTTTCATAATTCCTTTGTTAGGAAAATCTTACACTGGCATATGGCACATTCAAATGTTGTTTAAAAATGTATGGAGTTCTCTATATACCCACAGCTCAGCTAATGAATAATTAAATGAAGTGAAACACTGACTCACTATTCTCAGCCCCTTCAGGGTGCGTGTGTGTGTGTCTGTGCATGTGCGTGTCTGTGCGTGTCTGTGCATGTGTGTCAGTGTCTGTGTGTGTGTGCGTGCGTGTGTGTGTTACCGTCAGCTTGGCTTGTGTATGTGCCTCTTTCTTCTGGCTCTCCTGCAGCTGTCCCTCCGTCCACTTTAGTTTGCCTTTCAGAGTGTCCAACTCTTTGTCCAACGCCTGCTTCTGCAGAGACAGCTGACAGGGGACATAACGACTCAGTAGCTGATTCAAACAGGGAGGAAGATTTGAAGTAACAGGTAGAAGAAACAAAGATGATAGTAGGAGGTAAAACAACAAAGAAGACATAAATAAATGAGTAGCTGCTGTTGAGGGGCAGGTATCAGGGGAGGGTATCAGGGGGCGGGTATCAGGGGCGGGTATCAGGGGCGGGTATCAGGGGCGGGTATCAGGGGCGGGTATCAGAGGCAGGTATCAGGGGCAGGTATCAGGGGCGGGTATCAGGGGCGGGTATCAGGGGCGGGTATCAGGACCAGGTATCAGGGGCGTGTATCAGGACCAGGTATCAGGGGCGTGTATCAGGGGCGTGTATCAGGACCAGGTATCAGGGGCGTGTATCAGGGGGCGGGTATCAGGGGCGGGTATCAGGGGCGGGTATCAGGGGCGGGTATCAGGGGCGGGTATCAGGGCGGGTATCAGGGGCGTGTATCAGGGGCAGGTATCAGGGGCGGGTATCAGGGGCGTGTATCAGGACCAGGTATCAGGGGGCGTGTATCAGGGGCGGGTATCAGGGGCGGGTATCAGAGGCAGGTATCAGGACCAGGTATCAGGACCAGGTATCAGGACCAGGTATCAGGGGCAGGTATCAGGGGCAGGTATCAGGACCAGGTATCAGGACCAGGTATCAGGGGCAGGTATCAGGGGCAGGTATCAGGGGCAGGTATCAGGGGCAGGTATCAGGGGCAGGTATCAGGGGCAGGTATCAGGGGCAGGTATCAGGGGCAGGGTATCAGGGGCAGGTATCAGGGGCAGGTATCAGGGGCAGGTATCAGGGGCAGGTATCAGGGGCAGGTATCAGGGGCAGGTATCAGGACCAGGTATCAGGACCAGGTATCAGGGGCAGGTATCAGGGGCAGGTATCAGGGGCAGGTATCAGGACCAGTGAAGGGATGGGAAGCAGGAGGGCGACCAGTGATCAATGAGGAGAATAAGCTGTCTACCTCTGGGGAAGTGAAGAAGCAGATTGGCTTCCCACCAGTGCTGATAGAAAATGCTCATGATGTCATAGTACACGTAGTCGATGTTAAAGGGAATGTTTTTGTAAAGTGCAGTGCATTCAATTTCAGTAGTCACATCACATTCAAAGTAAATATTCTGACAATCAGTTCATTGTTAAAATAAACTTTCATGCAACATGATAGAAAATGCTGTTTTCAGCTCAGACCAAACAATCATTAAAGAACAAAAATATGAAATGTTATCAATAAATCAAACATTTAGTTGCAGTCAGCAATCTTCTTGGAAATTAAGGTTTTGTGTCAGTTTTTCTGGGTAAAATGAATGTTCCTGCAGCACACAAGGCTATAATGATATGTTGTTTGACAATTATTGAAATTAGCCCATTTACTGGATTCACATTTCAAGTTAAACGGCATGCTTATGCAACACAAACTCCTCA